TAGGACGTGATAAGTAACGAACAAATTCTACTAAACTAACCGTGAAATTTTAATTGGCATCATATCATCCAATCTTAGATATTTAATCACGTTTTTTTTTCAATATAAAAATAAGTATATATATGGACAAAATAATTAATCACTTCATCAATCACCCGGTGACATTTTGACCCAAGAGATATTTATGTAAAGTCTACATTCTCTTTGCATTACAATCAAAACTATTTACCAAATATTGTTTTTACGTAATAAAAAAGCTAATTAATAATATCACGTAGAGATATCAAGATTGTGAAATATTGGCAGTTATTGCTACAATAAACTCTTTGAAAAAGATCGTTGACTTTAATTGCCCGAACAATAATATTTTATCTCCTGAATGTTGGTTAATCAATTCCAGATTTTTTATTACGTCTGATAGATATTTGTTGCATAGAAAATAAATGAACGATAAACCTGGGTTAATAATTCCTTAAAGGTTTAATTTGTTTGTTAGACCGATTCGTTTTAACTGAATAATAGCAATTGAGCTTGGAAAACACAGGCTAAATTTTTGTTGTCTCTATTATTTTTCTTTATTTTGCTCTATTATTTGGGAATTTCTGCGCGGATATTCAAGTTTAAACCTATTTTACTTAAAAATCAGCAGTTTCCTTGGGTTATGTGGAGTTTCAATCTTCATGGAGGTCATTAGACAAGTGAAGAAAGGAAAAGACTAATTGATGGTTTCATCAAGCTTTCGGCAACTTATAGTGCCATCATCAGGGCTTTCCCAAGAGTTCAGAAAACGATTAACATGGTAAAACTATTGTAAAAACGTCTTGGGTTTAAGGTTATGAAGCACATGACCAGCATATTACATTTAACATGGTGAAAATAGACATCTCGCTAATAAAAATCCATATGACTGTGGTGCAACAATTTTGTTCTGACTAGCAATTTCTTATAGGTAACATTTATGATCAAAGAGTATTTTGACTAGAATTATAGTTATTTATAAAGACTATGTACAGGATTAACATTAATGAGAGAAAGAGCGACAAACACCGTCGCCTCAGGTTCCAACCTATGGTTAGTCCACTAGCTTCATAATCTTAAACCCAAGACGTTTTTACAATAGTTTTCCCATGTTAATCGTTTTCTGCACTCTTGGGAAAGCCCTGATGATGGCACTAAAAGTTGACGAAAGCTGAACCCAACAATTAGGCTTTTCCTTTCTTCACCTGTCTAATGACCTCCATGAAGATTGAAACTCCACATAGATTATCTGCAGGTCGATCAACAAACATCGTAAGTTCCTTGGTTTGTTTACAGGCAACCGATAAACCGAGATACTTAAGGGTTTTTGGGACTTCTCTGTGTGGTCTGAGGAGTGATGAGCCTGTAATTTATTCGTCACCGATCCATCTGGTCTGCCCATCCTCGCTGTCTGGTCTGTTAGATGGGTTTTATCTTCTCGCAGGCACTAATACTGAACACGACGTGAACACGAAACGCAATTACGGCACTGACCAAGTTGATCCGCGATGACAAAATTAGTTAAGTGTGACTTTTTGCGTTTACGTTTTATTTACTGAAAACTGCGGTTGATAATTTCAAATAGAAAATAAAATGGAGTCATTCGTCTTTCCTTACAGTATCTGGCTTATGTGACATATATAATCAGTTTTCCAAATGGGCGTCTTCTTAAAGTATTATTCTTTTTTTTAAATGATTATCATTGCACATTATTGAATACTCTTGTAAACCTGTGCGGTCTCTTCTAAATATTCAGCCGATCATGCTTTCAAGCGGGTTTCGCTTTTATATAAATGACGTACATCCATTGTTTCCTACGCAGGGATTTTAAGGCATTGCATAACCTTCGGTCGTTCAATTCCACCACGTCTGTTTTTATTACGATAGTTTTCTGTGGAAAATGTAACGTCCGACCGCAGAAAAACAAAAACAAAGTGAAGGTCTAGTAGTGATCCGTAACGGCAAAAATCATAGAATGAATGGACAGAGGTATTGAGATATTATGAAAATTTCTGAGCATATAGTACTCAAAACATTCAGTCTGAATAAGTTAATATATATGTTTTAAACCATAAACGGCGTAAAAATATATGTTGTCCTAATATTTTGGAAAACCAAACAAAAATCCTTTGTGCTTGTCTATCATCATTGTACATTATACAGCTTAAAGCAAATGTGTATAAACAATTACATAAGTTGGATTAGAGATATATAATTTCAATCTCCAAGTACAATAATATACGTTTCTACATATAAGTATGATAGATGTCATAGATCTCCATGTAATGCAAAGGTTCTAATAAAACTTTTATTGGATTTTAAAACGAATATTTTGAATAATCATAACATAAACTACCTTTATACTTTTACTTTTTTTCAGAAGAGCAGTATTGAAAATCGCATGTTATTAAATTCAATTTTAACATAGCATCAGTAGGGTAAAGGACTGACCAAAATATACATTAAGCATAGGCTTGATTTATTACTTACATTTCTGAATGCATTCACTGAATAAACGGGTCTAGATATAAAATAAAATTTAGAAGTTTTCAACAATGCGTTACTTCGTAGAGTTTGTTGGAGGGCAATCTATAGGAATATAGCCCTTTTCATTGCCTAACATTATACCAACAAGAGAATTCTCTTTGGTACACAGGCGGCTTAAAACAGGGAAGTGCATATGTAACATAGTCCTATGAATTCCAAATACCAAACTATACACCTTGACAGATACACCACGGTTTTACAGACGAAAATTGTAGCGAGTGAACACTGGGCCAGAGAAATAAAAATCTTGGAATCCGCCCTAAGAAAATATCAAAACACTGTGACAGGCAGACAGAACGGTTTAACATCATGTGAGATGAAGGCAAAATGTGTCTGGAGTTATATGGAGTCCTGGGAAGGAGACAGTGACAGTAATGTTCTGACCTACGTTTCGATCCCGGTCATTAAAGTACACCGGGTTAATGGGGTCACAAACTTGCTAAAAGTACAGCCGTTGTGAATATGTCTATCTCAAACCTACTGTGGTATAGCGTTATGCAACAAAAAATGACACGTTATAAAATGGATTCTTAATTAGTACAAATTCTGCGTTATCAACACCTACTCGACAAAATTAGTATAGTGGATAACTGAACTCGAATTTGTCTAAGCATCCTGTCTGGATACTGTAGCCTAAGAAGGCTTTTGTACAGATTTTTCAAAGATGAGGAAGAGACACATTCTACGTTACTTTGAGATTCTACTACGATGAAAACCTGCGAGCAATTTCCAAAACAAAAGAACCACTAGCCGGGCAATGGAAACTGATTAACAGCTTAAATCTGATTAGTGACCTCTACCAATGTTAGAAGAGGACAATAGACCTATATAGGTCGAGGTGCGAGAGCCACGGCTTAATTTCCTAGTACCTATAGATGAGGTAAGGGTGATCACAACATGATAATATGAGATGATTTTATGGAACAACAGAAAATACCATTTTACTTAAGCTTTGGATCAATTGTGAAGAAATTTGGAAAAGAAAAATTACAAATACTTTTTTGTATGTCATTGACCAGTTTTTCATCCAGAATTGTGATGCATCTGCCTGGACTCGGCGAATCTATCTGCCGCACGCTGGCAATTATTTTTTTTAAGATGCTTGATATCCATTGTCAGGAACGATACGGTCGAAGTGTTTGTGCTTTTCATTTAGAGGGGCCGGCTATCTATTTGGGACGTAACAAATAAACGAATTGTCACGACGTGACCCCAAGGGGAAAGTTGTCGGCCTGTCATATATAAAAAAAGCGACATCTGAAAAGCTTGACGTCCTGTTCATCTGCTCATAAACTAAAATACACACATTTAAAGCACTGTTATTGTATTATGACGCAAGGCATACTTCCTTTATACTCAGGAAAGAAAGTGGAAGATAATAAAACGTAAACAGGGAATAAAAATGGTTATCAAATAAGAGGAAGATTAAAAGAACCAGTGATAGATAGAGGGATAGATAGATATAGAGAGAGTAAGAGAGAGAGAGAGAGAGTGTGTGTTAGAGGAAGGGAGACAGAAAGACAGAGACAAAGTCAAAGAAACCGAAAAAGGAAGAAAGTGAGACATAAAAAGAAATGGTAAATAAAGAATAATGAAGTGAAACAAAAAATTAATCAAGGAGAGAGAGAGAGAGAGAGAGAGAGAGAGAGAGAGAGAGAGTGAGAGAGAACGAGCACGAAAAGGAAAGAAAGTGGGAAAAAAGGTAAATATGGAATGAAAAAGAGACACAAAAGAAAGAGAGAGAGAGAGAGAGAGAGAGAGAGAGAAGGACGTACAGACAGAGAGAAAAAGGTAGAGCAGGATTGTGGAAAATATGAGCAGAGAAAACATGAAAAATAGATAAGTAAAGTCCTTTTTCATGTTTTCTCTGCTCATATTTTCCACAATCTTGCTCTACCTTATTTCTCTCTCTCTGTACGTCTCTCTCTCTCTCTCTCTCTCTCTCTCTCTCTCTCTCTGAAAATAAAAGAAACAACTAAATTTTTAAGCAATGGTTTTATTCCAATAGAAAAGTTAGATTTTTAGTTCACAAACCAAGGTTCGTAATCTAGCTGGCCCGCGTCGCTAGTTTTGTTCGTTAGGCGTGATTCGTCATTTCGCCATTTTCAATGGTTTGGTCTGGGCGTTATTTCGTTAGTCATGTCTTGGTACGCTTGTAAAAAGTTAAGCGGGAAAAGATGTGTCGGCGGTGTCTTTCTTCTTTGTGGAAATAAGTCTGGTATTTTCGTTGTTTGTTCCGGTCGGTTGTTCTGTTCGTCGATTGGTTTGCTTTTTAATGGAATGTGTCAATTGAACCTTACAATCTCAGAATCCAACCGAACTGGTTTATATGATTGTGGAAACCACACCTTTACCAAATTTAAGTTTGCTGTTTGTCTCTTTTGTGTATTAGTCTCCAGTCTCCAGTTTTTATTAATAATTTTTTTTTGTTGCAGACGTTCACAGCCTGGTGCAACTCGCATCTTCGCAAGGCGGGCACGTCCATCGAGAACATCGAAGAGGACTTCAGGAACGGTCTTAAACTCATGCTTCTCCTCGAGGTGATTTCGGGTGAAACCCTCCCCAAGCCCGACAGGGGGAAAATGCGCGTCCACAATATCGCGAACGTCAACAAGGCGTTGAACTTCATCGCCAGCAAAGGAGTTAAGCTCGTCTCCATCGGTGCCGAAGGTAAGAGCCGAAAATAAAAATACCATATTATAAAAGATCTAGGCGCACTGATCATCCAGAGAATCATGCTACTAACAACGTCTAGAGAATAAAGCTCGGTCCAAGTTTCAAATATTTCGATTTTTTCATTTCTATGAGGCCTTGTTCTTGCTCCTGATCGACTGTACAAATTGCATCTTCTGATTAAAATTTCCGTTAGTAGATCATCTGACTTTCCTGTTTTTCCAATGTTACCTGAAAAGTTAAACGCTCAGTTTTGGTTAGCTTCACAATCTTGCGTTCTTCATAATCTTATCTTCCTTCCTGGTCGCCCTCTACTTTATAAGAATAATTTTTCTATGTATTGACGCCTCAGTAGACCTTATTAATCCACATTTTTGCATAAAAACTATTGCATTTAGTTCCTACCTCATCTGTGCTTTCAACCTTCGAAATTCTTTCCCTTCTTCTTTATCCGCCGAGCCCTGTCTCTTTGTAGTTTTATTTCCATTATTTGTATTGTAGACTATTTTTTACTTTGTGTACCTGTGTACCGTAATTATCCCTATTTTGTGTACATGTTTTTTAATAGACATTTGTACATTTGAATATTCTTATTAAGCTTAAATCTTGTTTTGAATAAATTATTTTTATTCAAAAATGGTTATTTAAGGAAGCTTTAAGTCCCACGATGAAGTTTATTTTTTTCATTTCCTGCACTAAAAAATGCACACCAGCTAGATCGGTATTTAAATTGTATTAAATTAGATTGTATTTAAATTCTATTTATCCAGATGCCGAGCAAGATCTATTTTATTGTATTGTAACAAATGAAAATGTCATGATATTGTAAGTATAATGCGACTCGTACAAATATATTACATATTAATATGCCTGCATCATTGAAATATTATATTGCATAAAATTTTTTGGAATTGAATATTTCCCTTTCATAATTTTTTTACGCTTGACCTAAACCCTCCACGTTTTACGGCTATGTTATGATTCTGTTATATTTCTTTATATTAATAAAAAGTTTTTGATCCTATTATTTATTTTGATTGAAAAGTAGATGAAGTTAGAGAGATAATTTGTGGTTACCAATTTCTTATAGATCAGAAAAAAGGCAATTTTTAGCTATTACTTTTCGGTAAATTATTTTTGGTTAAAATAATACATTTATTGATAAACTAAAAGTAGAAAAATAAATAGTTTAAAAAATAAACAAGTTCTAAATAAAAAATTCTAAACCCAGAACTAAACTTTAAAACAACGAACAATTTTCTTGATTTTTTTTTTTTCTCTGGGCGATAAACCTGAAATATGGTCGTTATAATTTGAACTGCCTATCCTTCGACACACGGAAAATGGTTCAATGGAAATTCAGATACGCGCCTGAAAGACGAGTACAGTGAGGATAGGCAGATAAATTCTGATGTATGCATTGGCTAAAGCTAACGCTTTCTTTAAACAAATGCCCCTAAAATCCCAACACCTATCTAGCTTAACGCAGCATGGATATTTTGAATGATTTTTGTTGCAATAAAATTGAAACTGTTGCAAATAACGTTGTAAAACTGTTTAAATCATTTTGTGATATAAATTTGTTAAAAGATAATACCTTTTTTGAAACTGTCAGTGGTCTTCGTTTGGAACTGATCCTGTCGTAAATTAGATTTTTACTGCAATTTTAAAGAACCGGAGACTCGTCAAAAATGTTATCCAATGTTTGATCTATTTGACGATCGCACATGTATTTCGGCCTTACGCCATCTTCAATGAGGAACTATAGAGAGAAGATGCCAGAAGATGTAGTCCAATACAGTAATCCGTGATTCTTTCAATATTCATCCACTCGCAGAGCAACCAAAAACAACTTTTGCATCAAGTTTGTCCGTTATATAGAGCCTCGAGTGACTTGTTCTGTCATGCCCAGTCTTTATTTCATTTGTCATCATATGTTTGGCATGAAATTCTTCGATTTTATTCCTGTTCTTGTACTTTCTCATTCTTTCCCCAATGTTCTTCCAATGATTACCACTTCTTTAAATTCCTATACAATCTAGATGACTATTGACCGGCTGCCAGCTCATCACCTTCCTACATTTTCCTTATATTCCATTCAGAGGTCGTGATAATATGCCTAATTTGTTCTATAATTGGTCAGTCTCTCGTTTCTTAATTGCGTTTAATGTTACTCTGTGTTCAAAATTGCTTAACATCTTACGACTTCGTACTTTTCCAATAAAAACAAGTCTTCAAAATCTTCAAATCATTTTTGGATATGAATTTATTAAAGTTACCACAGTAATTTTTAAATGAGGCGTAGTCTTGATGTTGGCTTGAGGTGGTTACGTCTTTAAAACAGGTTCTTTCTGCATCTGACAGTCGTTAAAATCATCAAATGATCACTTACGATTGCATACTAATGCACCTTATATGAATTGAAAAACTGAAGACTGGAGACAAACCATATTAAATGATAAGTTCAGTTCATCAGTAAATTCGCAGATCAATTAACGCCCCCAAACTTTACACTAAGGTTGCTCATTAAACCTATACATATGGAGTCTAGTTTAGCCATGCCCATATTTTTTGAGGTAATTTGTAATCCTTATTGAATGCTTTAATTATTTCTTGTGTTATATTGTCGGTATGACGCTCTTAGTTCATCTTCAACTTCTCTTACCGTAACCTTACCTTTAAGTAACTAATCATTTTATCTAAGGTCTTGGTTGAGATGAAAAGTTATGTCAGGAGCGGCGGGATTAGAACCTACGACCTTTGTTTAGCCATGGCCAATATTTTTTGAGGTAGTTTGTAATCCCCTAATAGAATGCTTTAATTGTTTCTTGTGTTATATTTTCGGTATGACGTTGTTAGTTAATTTCACTAGTCTTCGTGGTCCGCTTGACCAATTAATATCTTTCAATTAATTAGGTTTTTAGTTGAGATAAAAAAGTCAGTGTCACGAGCGGGATTCGAACCCACAATCTTCGGCTAAATACGCCTCTCCTCTACCACTTGAGCTGTCGTGACCTCGATCTACTCGGAAACTAACTTTCCATCTCAACCCCACTTTTTCGAATTTTCTCTCCTTTTTTTGCCATTTTTCAAATGTCGTGTAATCTATTTGATTCTCGGCAACAAATGAACTTTGACTTTTTTATCTCAATTAAAAACCTTAATTAATTGAAAGATATTAATTGGACAAGCGGACCACGAAAACTAGTGAATTTGATGAGTTAAAATGAAGTATACCCTCACTAAAGCTCTCCTGGCCATTTCATTTGTCGCCGAGAATCAAATAGATTACACGACATTTGAAAAATGGCAAAAAGGATGAAAATTCGAAAGGTGGGGTTGAGATGGGAAGTTAGTTTCCGAGTGGATCCAGGTCACGACAGCTCAAGTGGTAGAGCAGCGGCGTATCTAGCCGAAATTCGTGGGTTCGAATCCCTCTCGTGACACTGACTTTTTTATCTCAATTAAAAACCTTAATTAATTTAAAGTTCTTAGTTAGTCTTGAACTTCTCACTTACCTTAACCTCACCTTTAAGTAATTATTCTTTTTATCTACGGTCTTGGTTGAGATGAAATGTCAGGACCGCGATTCGAACCCACGGCCTTAGGCTCAATACGCCGCTGTTCTAACCACTTAAGCTTTCGTGTTTTTAATTATGACAACTATGTGATTCATCTTTAAGTCTGATCTAGGTGACTAATGCCAAGCTGCTATTTTCCACTCAGACGTGATAATATATCTAATTTATTTTACAATTCTTAGTTGCGTCTAGTGATACTTTTCAAAATTGCTTTTTTAACTTATGACTAGGTATTTTTCTGTTCAAGCCGTTAATAACAAGTATAGTAATTTTCAGTTCAACTTGTTCTACTGGCTTTGTATGAAACTTGTGCCCTGAAACTGCCATAACTGCCATCCTCTTTGTATATTATAATTCTTTCTTAGTATTTTAAGTAGTCGTAATTATCATGAGGATCAATTTCCAAAACGACTTTTGAATGTGTTTGAATGTGTCATGTTCTTCGTATCCATATTTTTCTAATTGGTTTACTTTTGTCTCTATTGTTGTTTTCAAGCATATTAGTATTATTTATAATCGCCCGGTCCATACGCCGAGCTTTACAATTCGAAACGATTGTTGTACACGATCAAATTGAAAACGGCCCTGCTGTTCGTCCCAGATAAGGCGAGCGAGTCCATTTAACCGAAATTTCTATCCAGGGCAATTCTAGAAAACGGGCGGTGTCACGAAACGGCTCCGTTTATGTTTTCTCTCCCTCGACCTGTCATTATTACACGTAATGTAGGATAAAGCGGGATTTAAGAGGCGTGAGCTGTTCTCACGCCTCATTGCCTTTTTTTCCTACGACTTGTAATGATGGACTGGATTTGTTGAAACAAATAAATTGTCTGGTCGATCCTGTCTGCATTAGTATATGAAACTCTTACACCATGTCTATATTACTTTAAAGGAAATGTTGTCGATGAAAACAACAATCAAACGTTCAAATTGTGCAACTCTAACTAGTAAAACTGCATTCCAAGTTGTATATCCAATTGGGCATCTTTTGACCTGTAAACACCCTAAAATCCATCGAATGCTAATCTTCCTTTTTAATACAAAAAGAGCTAAATTATATTTTAAAACCGGTGAATCAGTAGAATAAGCATTGTTGTGGTCGATGGCGGAATATTCATAAAAGTACCCCATCGACCCCAATCTACAATAGTTTAGTTTAAGTGTAGGTCGGTGGAGGAATATCAAGTACTCCACCGACCAAACGGAATGTGTGAACTGTATGGATGTATTTAAGTGTATAAATGTATTTATTTGTATGAATGTTGTGTTTGAACGGGTATAGAATATAAAATATAGATTTAGTGGGGGGCTGAAATGACCTAGACGTCGGAAGCCCCAGCAAAAAAAAAAAAAAAAAAAAAAAAAAAAAAAAAAAAAAAAAAATAAGCATTGTAGTGCTGAACTTGCGAGCTGGCGAAATCAAAACTTAAGAGTAAAACAATAAGGAAGATGGAGCGTCGGTGGCCGCAAGGGTTTACGCGTTCACACGGCGCTATCGCTGTAAGGTAAAGGTCACGGGTTCGAATCCAGCAACCCTGCATTCGAACCCGACTTACTTACAAATGGGCTTTTTTCAAAAACACCGACACCCTGAGGGTTTATACAACCTCCGCTGTTGCAAACCGTCGTAAAAAAAAAAAAATAATGAGGAAGATATGCTCATAATAATAAGAAAATTGGTAGAAAATTGTTATTTCAACAGTTTAATATTTAAACGTCGTAAAATTCTTAAAATGATTTTGAACTGTAGACTATTAGACATTATTGACAAAAAAGTGACGTCGAAAGCAGCTACGATAATGAAAAGAAAGCTTGATGTATGCGATTTTCAAAACGGATAATTATCGTAAACTCGTTATGATAATACATGTAAGCGGAACTGCAATTACTGTACAAAAAAAAACTTTAAATGCTAATGCAAATGTTTGGTGTACTAAGTGGCCTTCCAGTTGTTAAAGATTCCCCATGTATTGCTTAACAAATACACTATCATTTAGTTTGTCAGTACGAACTGATCGATTATCTATCACAATATCAAACATGTAAATAATACAATTAACACAATATAAATCAACCAAATCTAGCGAATGGCTTAACTTTACAATATTTTACATATTAGATTGTATGCGAACCAACGATATACTAGAATTTCAATACAAAATATGAATATAATATAATAACCCACCTTCCATTTGGCATGGCAAAAAGGAGGGAAAATTCAAAAGGTGGGGTTGAGATGGGAAGTTAGTGTCCGAGTGGATCGAGTTCACGATAGTTCAAGTGGTAGAGCAGCGGCGTATCTAGCCGAAGATCGTGGGTTCGAATCCCGCTCGAGCCATTGGCTTTTTTATCTCAACTAAAAACCATAATTAAATGTAAGATATTAATTGGTCAAGCGGACCACGAAACTAGTGAATTAAATAAATAATAAAATTAATTCATTTTCCTACTCAAACCAGCTTTGGATAAAAATTCATATAGCTGGGTGTATTTATTTTGAAATGAATTTGAGATCTAATAACACGTGCCTTCTTTTTTTCTAGTCGTTAGCCGGGATACTGATAACATGCTTTCGAAATAGCAGAGAAACATTTTTCTAACCTACATCAACCAGCGAGAAACGGACTCAATAAATCAATCATCGCAAAAAATACATTTATATTAAAATTGCTTTATGAATCTTTGAGCCTTCGGTATTATCTAAATAAATTAAAATATTAAAAATAGCTATCGAAGACAATTATCTCTACTAACCAACTGATGACATTTGATCCCGATTTTTAAAATATATTTTCACAGCAAACAATTTTTTTTATTTATCAATAAATGATCAAAACCTTTTATATATATAAATTTAATATTTACAAAATAAATATTTCTCTCAAATATGAATTAAACGAAGAAGAACATGCAAACGATTTCTTGTCTTTTTGCAGTATAAATTCGTATTTTAACGCTTACGTAAAACTTTTTCTTTATTAGCTTTAAGAATAATGGCACCGGTGAATTTATTTATTATGGTACTATTAGCTTATGATGTTATCCATTATGTATTCAATAAATAAAACTAACTGTCGACAAAACCGATGAAGTTATCCGAAATTAAGATAAAATTGCGTTTAATTGAGTAAACAACTTTAATTTTAATACACTTCCTGATTGTTTGTCTCCTGCTTGCACTATTCTAAAACTAGTAATTAGGAGTATTCTCTATATTTTAATAATAACAAAATAAATACTTGACTAATACTTGAGTTTGATCATCCTGGCACACCAAATACTGAAGTACATATTTCCTAAGTTCATCGAAATCATTCGTTCATTTTTTTTTTTTAATTTTATATATGAAATTTAATTTAGCTCTGTTTTGTGTTCTGAATTGTAAAGAATCCGAAGTTCATTTAAATAATTGGTTGCCTCCGGTGAACTTGATCAAGTAGATGTTTGGACAGATGTGGTAGGCCCGAGGGTAAGACATCTAACAAAAACCCTCCAAAAAAGAGAAGCAGGTTTTCAATAGATTGTCGACACCCTTGTCCTGTTTACTGTCATCCTATAGGTTTGTTCAGCCGTTACAAAAATATCCTTATTAGTTTTATTCAATTACATGCTCTTTCCAACATTGGAACCCTTAAGCACTAAATAGTGATCCGAACAGTAGGACGTGAACTACTAAAGATCGAATCCATATTGATTCAAGAACCAGTTCATGCGTATGTTTTTCTGGTTTTATGTTGAAATTATCCGGTATGATATGGACGAGCAACCATGTTCAGTTTAGATACTTTTTTTCGCTTTAGGCATGAAATATATAAACATTTTGGCCGTGTCAAAATTTTTTAAAATATATTTTGTACATACAATGATTATATTTTAAAAATGCCAAATAAAGCATAGAGACAATAAAATATTTCAAGTTCAAATTTTTCGAATTGAAGATGCGTTTTGCTTTACAATTATTGGAATTGTGAGATTTCCGGTCGGGGTCTGCTAGTTGATGGCCTTAATATTGTGACACAAAATCATCGGAAACGACCGTGCTACAAATTATTTGAATCTTTGAGAAATTTGTAATTTTGCACTTAATACTACTCAAAGCTTTTGTTGTATCTCGATCTTCACACTAAAGATTCAAGATTATTTCTAAAAAAAAACTTTCCAGAAGGTGTAAACACATCTGAAGGAATTGTAACGGTTTGAGGGGTGCACAAAGGAGGAATGAGATTTCTGACCTGTGCTCGGTTCATTACACTCGGCCCGTGTTCCGTAGGGGCTCTTAAAGTTAATTACACGACGTCTTTGTCGTCTCGCTGTCATATTGTCTTTTTGTGTTTCAGAAATTGTCGACGGTAACTTGAAAATGACCCTCGGCATGATCTGGACCATCATCCTCCGTTTCGCCATCCAGGACATATCCGTGGAGGAGATGACGGCCAAGGAAGGCTTGCTGCTCTGGTGCCAGAGGAAGACAGCACCTTACAAGAACGTCAACGTTCAGAACTTCCATCTAAGGTAATTTAAACCAGATAAGTAGAATTAAGTACGCACCAAAAACTATATGACGTATTATATCTGAAATGTATGTTGATGCACTTGTTGATGAAATGGGGGTTTGATATTTCCCAAGCCCTGATGCCATCGGGCGTTTTGTACTTTTCGTACTTACTTAGTTCATTTCAATTGACGTGATCCTTCTTTAGAGAAGTGTAATTCCGTAGTTTATGTCTCCATCGATCTGTTGCTTCTCATTCGAAGATATAGGTGGCAGATTCTCCTCCTGATTGTATAACCTAAAATTTTGTCATTGTTGAATATACTCAAGTCGCGTAGACGTTTTTCAGACACCATAGAGCTCTATCAATACCTTGAGTTTTTTCCTGCCTAACTGGAGCAATGTTTTTGGTACTTTTGTCGAGGATTCTATAGCTATGAGTTGACTATGCCTGGGACCTCAAGCGTACGTCCGTTTCTTCTTCTGTTCTTTTTGAACCTATTGTGAGATGTAGGAGTCTACGTTTGACCTTTTTATTCCAATTATGCATTCTGGGATTATTGTTGATCTTCCATATCCTCGGGCTAGTTTCTATGCTTGTTTAATACACAAAATCTCTTTGTGCCCAGCCAGATATCCATGATATTGTCAGGCTGTTATGTTTTTCCACGTTTTGGATGCATTCATTGACTTTTGGGTATGACCTTTTTACGTGCTAATGGTTTTCGGACTGTTTACGATCTTATCAGGGTTCTTAAGCGATTGGGTATGTAATTTAGCTTGGCAGACCGGGTTGTACTTCCCTAATAAGATATCATTAAGATTAGAACAAGTGTCGGCCTCTATTACGACCTGCTCACCGGGGCCAGTATTGGTCTTTTGTGCACCAAAATTGCTTTTTGTAGCCCACCAAAAACTATATGACGTATTATATCTGTAATGTATGTTGATGCACTTGTTGATGAAGTGGGGGTTTGATATTTCCCAAGCCCTGATGCCATCGGGCGTTTTGTTCTTTTCGTACTTACTTAGTTCATTTCAATTGACGTGATCCTTCTTTAGAGAAGTGTAATTCCGTAGTTTATGTCTCCATCGATCTGTTACTTCTCATTCGAAGATATAGGTGGCATACTTCCCTCTTTAGCTTAACGCTTTTTACTAGATCACAAAGCTTTCTCTCGTGTACATTCTTTAGATTTAGTCATAAAAACATTATCCATTTCAAAGCAGACGCTCAGAATGGAGCCCTTTTTAAGAAGAAAATTGAGGAATACATAAGAGATGGAAAAACCCATTATTTATGTTGACGAAAGCGGTCTTGCTACAGACATGTCGCGTCATTATGGGTAGTCAAAGAAAGGTCATCCATGTTATGGAGTACAAGACTGGCTGGAATGAGGAGGCATCAATTTGATTGGGGCTTTATGTAACAATTCACTGCTCGACATCATCTTATCTGAAAGAAATATCAATAGTGATATTTTGAGGGTGTTCATAATTCTGTGTCAGGGCCCAACTTTTTCTCTCCTTGTAGTAGTAATTTTAGACTACATAAGACTTCGCACCAACAGAGAACATGTTCCGCTCTCTCTTCTTCTTCCTGGCAACATCGTCCTAGTCTTGTTTCTACTACTCCAAGACTAAGCATATGACTCCAGAATATGCTGGGTCCATCTATTATTCTAATTGTCGTCTTAGATTTCGTAGTATTGATGTTTGTTTCTGCAATGGTATTTTCATGAACATTTTTCCATGTCTCTGTCCTAGGCTTATTTTTAATCCAATGGATTCACGTTTTTGGCAATTGGTATGCCTATCCAAGGACAATAGGTGCCAACTTGGCTAATTTATCCGTCTTTTGGTTGCCACTTTGCCCTTGGTTTCTTCACTGATTTCGGTGCTATCTGTTTACTATATAATTGTATTTAATTGTGCTGCAAATTTCCTCTTTCACTATGCAGACTGTTCAAACTTTATAGGATTTTGTTGCATTTACATATCAAAATGATAACTAAAAATTATTATCATTATAATCAACCATATAAAATTTTCAATTAATTAATATTTATGAAAGGTATTGGTCGAGGTAAAAAAAGTCAGCGTCACGAGCGGGATTCGAACACACGATCTTCAGCTCGATACGCCGTTGCTCTACCACTTGAGCTATCGTTGAAAAATGGCAAAAAGGAGGGAAAATTCGAGAGGTGGGATTGAGATGGAAGGTTAGTTTCCGAGTGGATCGAGTTCACGATAGCTCAAATGGTAGAGCAGCGGCATATTGAGCCGAAGATTGTGGGTTCGAATCCCGCTCGTGACCCTGACTTTTTTTATCTCGACCAATACCTTTCATAAATATTAATTAATTGAAAAATGTTAATTGGTCAATCAGACGACGAACTGTAATGGGCATATAAATTGTTTGAAATGTAGTAAGTGAACAAAATGATCACGACTGATGTGTACAGCTGAGTAGTAGAAAACTATGCTCTTAATTGTAAATTGTAAAAAAAGAATCTTTAATTTTGGCATTGGATCATTTATTCAATAAAATATCTCCGAACTTTCTGTATAAAATGTATAAATCATTAAAATATGATCACTGTAAACACACCCAAAATATGTCATCCAAACTTCATGTCGGTGGTATTTATAATTGTTCGATGGTTGTTCAATAAAGCCAGCAAGAATGATCAGATAGGTAAAATTATAATTTAATGTTTTCCCTACAAAACGACGTACTTAATTATACGAATGGATGACCTATTTGGTCGCCGGGTAGATTACATCATTCGTTACGTCGTTTCACTGGATGAATGAAGCAAACATTAATCCAAGAATATGGTTCTATGTACGGCCTTCTATTAAGGATTAAAGGCGTACTTTTTACACGCATCCTCCATCCATATTACGTTTCAAGTTTTTTAAAATTTTTAATTTTAAAGCGTTTGCTTGCAACAGTAACATTCAAGAACGGTAATATTTCCAATTGTCCTGTCATCGGTTTGATCGAACGCGATAAATTCTGTCTGAACCTTTCAAAAATTGGTCTTGGTGCAAATAATTAAAAAAATAAATAAATAAAATAAAATGAAAAAAAAACATCAAGTCGGTCGGTAGTATAACTTCCTCACATTTTGTGCAAGCGCAGGCGATAACGTTCGTACGATTACGATGAAATTCATACGGTACTCTCTTTTTTCAATTCAAATCATTGGAGACTCCAGCAGACCCTTCCCAATCATTGGTTGCAAGGTAGCCTTGAACGTGACGCACTCTCTAAAGCACAAGCTGCACGAGTTTCCTGGCACGCATGATTGCCTTAAGCATCCTCTCCATGCATTTGGACGATAGGACCAAGGAAGCGTACAGCGTTGCGAGGAAGCCAAGACTACGCCCACCTAGTCCCTCGAGATGTGTTTAGGGAGTTGTTGGCTTGCGAGCAGACCTCGGACAGCGGATGCTGCATCAGAGGGGTTAGGGTACCAGATCCTGTCAAAATATATTTATATATGGTCGGGGGGAGGGACATAACCTTCTGAACTGCGTGGCAGTGTATTTTCGTTCCAAGTTCAAGCCCAGCTGCATGCAGTGGCTGAGTGGTGAGGCCCTTAGCGGGTACCTAGAGAAGAGGCCGTGGACCGTAGTACTTGTGTATGGCCTCCGAATTACCTCCCGACCTCGCGAGAATCGGAAGGGTCTGATCGCCGAGAGCGTATAGCCATCGAAGAGCTATGACTGCGTTCCTCGAATGCGCGAGGAATGGTGGACGGGGGTGGATGCTTGTCGGGTGGTGGTCATCTCGGGCTGCCTTTACCGTAGTCTCCTCTAGACCTAGTCTCCTCTAGGGGGTGCTAGAGATACCACTAAAATCGAAACCGCGGCCGGAGCGCATCCGGAGGTTTCGACGCTACGGATCCCCTAAACCCAGTGGATTAGACTTGTCTATCTACTGAGTGCTTGGGAGACTTGGCTGATGCATTTCGACCACTTTTTGGATATCCCTTTAGGCGCGGCACTGGTTAAGCGCACAATGTTAACCCACCCCCTCGGAAGGGGCAAGCAGGAGAAGTTCGCATGTCTGTCGGTTAGTCTGTGGATTTGCGGGCTTCTCCACCGAACCTCATGGAAGAAGCAGATTCGGTGCGGAGGTGAGTCGCTCCTAACTTGAGAATCTAAACGTGTGATAAGGCCTGACGGCTAGGTGCGCACGCTAAAGGACCTCATTGTTAAATGATATTGCGGCATCAGGAACGGAACCAAAGTTGTTCAGAAATATCTGAAACGCAAAATGCGAATTGAAATTTTGAATATGCAGATCAAAAAAATTTTCCGCTTTCCGCACGTTTACAAGGGGTATGGTCTTCCCTACCTTCAGCAGTTCGGAAGCAAAAGCGTTTCAACTTTTCAAGAGAGAAGAACTCCATTCGAAGCATTTTGGCTTTCTTATCTAAGAATAGTGTTTTATAAAACAGAAAAGAATTGTTAAATTTTAAGCATTTCTTTCTAATGCGTGCTAAAAAAAAATGTGATGGTATAACATTTGATCAGTTGATTAATCACTCTGGTCCAATCTCTATTTACTGAGAAGCCTTAGACATCCGCCGACGCCTTGTATAACTTCACTCCACTCGAAGAATTCCGATCGATACAAATCTATTTTTCACGAAGCAGTGTCTCTTCGTTGAAGAACATAGATTTTTCAATAAATACAAACAACGTTTTCATGTAATACATACAGCTTTTAGGGAAAAAGCATAAGATGCAAAATAGTCCGTCATAACCCAGAATTTCGAGTTTGATACCGCAAAAACTCAACATTTTACCAAACTTTTCACAGTTATGCGTCCAGTCATGATAATTTGAATCGAAAATTATCTTTCTATCAAGGAATTACAAATTTCTGTAAAAGTCAGAGAATATTAGGGTGGAAACTTCGTCCTAAGTTTTCCCGGTGGGGTTCATTCATCAGGATCCATTGACTGCCTTGGACTGCGTCGTAGTGTGGTCTCCATGACGACGA